GCAGATGGTGTTTAATTTGGATAAATGCAAGGTGTTGTATTTTGCTGTGGTTGGTTCACTCACCGAGCTGGTTCGTTAGTTCATAGATGTTTCATTACCCTGCTGGGTAACATCATCAGTGCAGCCTCCGATGAAGTGCTGTTGTGTTTTCCTGCCAGGTATTTAAACTCTGGGATCCGTTGGATTTGGTTACCTTATTTCCGGTTTTCCTTTGCAGTTTTGTGTATATATAGGGTCTTGTTCTGTTTGCTGGTGGCCGCCTTGGTGGAGAACAGGCCTCTAGGAATTCCCGTGCTTGTCTCTGTTTGGCCTGTCCTCGGATCCTGGTGTTGTCCCAATCAAACTGGTGGTTCTCCTTGTCCGTGTGAATGGAGATGAGTGAGTATCGGTCGTGTCTTTTTGTTGCTAGTTGGTGTTCATGTACCCTTGCGGCCAGTTTTTTTCCTGTCTGTCCAATGTAATGTTTGTCGCAGTCCTTGCATGGAATTTTGTATATTACGTTGGTTCTGTCCATAGACCAAGGGGTCGTTTGGTTCGAGTTAGCATTTGGCATAGGGTTGACTTGGTAGTCTTGGTTCTCCACCAAGAAGGCCATCAACAAACACCATAAAACTAGACCCTATATATACACCATTGCAAAGGAAAGCTGGAAATTTAGGTAATCAAATCCAGAGTTTAAATACCAGGCGGGAAAACACAACAGCACTTCATCGGAGGCTGCACTGATGATGTTACCCAGCAGGGTAATGAAATGTCTGCGAACTAACTAACCAGCTTGGCGAGTGAACCAACCTGAGCTACAGATCTACTCAAGAACCTTAGAGTTGTATTTTGATGGATCAAACCAGGGCGGGATTTTGGTAGGGCTTTGGGGAGTGTTATAGAGCAAAGAGATCTAGGGGTACAGGTTCACAGCTCATTGAAAGTGGAATCACAGGGTGGTAAAGAAGGCTTTTTGCATGCTTGCTTTTATTGGTTAGAGCATTGAATGCAGGAGTTGGGATGTCTTGTTGCGGCTATACAAGACCTTGGTGAGGTCACGTTTGGAGTACTGCATGCAGTTCTGGTCACTCTACTATAGAAACTATATTATTAAACTAGAAAGGGTGCAGAAAAGACTCCCTAGGATGCTGTGTGGACTGGAAGGCTTCAGTTATAAGGAGAAGCTGGATAGGCTGGGATTTTTT